ATGCTGGGAATCATGACAACTACTATGGCAGACGACTTCGGACGAGGTGCGTTCTACATAGTCTCCCTGAAAACTAGACCAAGTTGCGACAACGAGGTCAACCCACTTCTATAAATCGAAGGGAGACTGCGACCATACCAGAAGTCACAACATCTTGGTCTTTATATCTTCGATTGTTTTGTTTTGTTTTGAATTTTACTTTCATTGTATATAAGAAGAGAAACTGGGTTTCTATGACTCTCCTGAGATAACATTGTTGGGGGGAATTTCATTTCGCATGAAAGTGCATGAAGAATAGATTCGTTGCTCGATCTCACCAGGTGAGAACGGATAAATCTCGTACTGCAGCCGCTTGGCTTTTATACGATCTACATGATGACGCAGTGTACGAGACTTCCTCCCTCGTTTCGAGTGAAAACGGGCTGAGCTTTCGTCCATCACATGATGGAACTCATCAGAGCTGGATGTCATTCTTGTAAGTCTCACGTTAACACTAGGCTAAGAACACTATTCGGCTTTATCTCAACTCTTATATAGACTCAATTAAGCCTAAAGAAAATTAAAAACATTGATAGATCGATTTAGAGTAGTTTGGTTAATTATCTTCCTGTTACTTGTGTTCGAGCGTGTGTGTGTGTTTGTGTTTGTGTTAGCGTTTATACGCAATACCGGTCCTAACATAAAGTTGTCAAAAGACTAATGTCAGGCTCCGATCATCGAGGCCTAATGACCCAAAAGAAAGCCCTGACTGAAAATGCGTAAGTCCGTAAGCAAATATGGTTGAGATAATAAGGTACGAGCTTGTAAGTATGAAAGTCAGGTTACTAAACCACTTGTCCCAACTTTTCAGTCTTGGGTCATTAATGTTTGACCCCTCAAGGTAAGAAAAGACTGGGATTGCGTAATCTAACACGTCTGATTTGATTGATGAGCTTATTCTAACATGTTGGACGAATGTGAGTGAAGTTAGAACCATTACCGAGCAGACAAATTGAGTCGCCTTCTTTTTGACGGCGGCTCTTTCAATCTATCATTCAAGCATAAGTAGTTCATACTCAACTTCATACCACCGTTCCTCACATTCAGCGTATTTTCTAGGCTATTAATTTCAATAGCGTCTTATTCTTTTAACCACAAACGTACCATAATCAGCAAACCTACTAGTTTGAGACCAGATTACGCAACCCCGGTATTACCTTTCTTTGGGGGTTATGGTTAATAACCCTAGACTGAAAAGTTAGGACAAGGGGTTTATAACTTGCCTTTCATACCTACAAGCCCATATCGCATCATCTCAACCATACTTGCTTATGGAATTATGCATTCTTGGTCAGGGCTTTCTTTTGGGCCATTAGGCCTTGATGATCAGAACCTGACATTGGCCTTTTGACAACTCTGAGATAGGAGCGGTATTGCGTATAGATGCTAACACGTGCACATACACACACGCACACACTCGAGCAAAAGTAGCAGGATCATTATGAAAGATAATTAGCCAAATCACTCTGTATCTATCTATCTATCTATCTATCTATCTATCTATCTATCTATCTATCTATCTATCTGCACATCTATCTATCTATCTATTTATCTGTCTGTCTGTCTGTCTATATATCTATCTAGGTTTTTAATTTTTTTGTCTTAATTGAGTCTATCTAAGAAATAAGATTTAGCCGGACTCTTACAAGAATGACACCCAGCTCTGATCATGTCCATTATATGATGGACGAAAGCTTAGCTCGTTTTCAACCGAAACAAGATAGGAAGTCTCGTGGACTGCGTCAACATGAATATCGTATAAAAGCCAAATGGCTGCAATACAACTAGATTCATCCGTCCTTATCTGGTGAGATTGACCAACGAATCTCTTCTTCATGCACTTTTATACAAGGTGAAAGTCCCCATAACAATACTTTTCATTAGACTCAAATGTTATACACATCCAGGTTGGACTGGGATTTCGATCTCATCTCTATTCTGTATTTTACTGTATCAACTGCCATCTTACTAATGGGATGTATTCACTCTCTTTCGTTTAAGATGATAAGGGGATTGGTAATCAAATTTTCCAATAATTATGTGAGTGGGCCTTGTGTTTTCATTGAATTTCACGTATCCTTGCTTTCCTAAAAGGCATTCCCACCCAGACAGGAAAATACTGCTATGAATGCCGTTAGATCATAAGACATGTGAAATTCAATAAAGAACATGCATTTGCCAATATCATATCCTGTCATCTTGTTTGCACACTCAATGTGTTTATTTCGGCTTCTTTTTTGCAGAAAGAGGGGAGGAAGGTAAGTGGGCTCAGGTAAGGGTAAATTTAATGGGAGCACGCTTCATGAAATACAGTTGCGGAGTCATCTAGTCACTCAGTGATGGTAGTGAGCATACTAATGAGGGAAAAGAAAATCAGAAAAGAACTATTCGAGTATGAAGAGAAGTTGTAACTAGGTAAGGGTTACATAGCATCCTGTTTTACGTATTGCCTATAATGGGGAAATTAAGCGAGTATAGCATTCTTCCTATCTTTTCTTGGTTAATATAAAATCATGAGGCCTATTACTTTCCAAACTTTTGGCCTGCTCTTATCCAAGCTGACTGTGGCACACTCCTGTAAAGCTATATGGAGATGGACGTTGTATACAATCTCGTGAAATATCTAATTCTTAAATAAGAACCCATTACTCTGCTCCTGCCTTTTTATGACCGTGGTTGCATATCAGGGCTCAAATATCCTTTCGCTGCGCAACCGATTTCGGAACACCTCCGTCGAATAGTTAAGATTAGTTGGTCTGGCAAGCTTCATATAAAACTCTGATTAAGATAAAAAAGACAGACGAACAGCTCACTCTTCATCGCTCTTTTCTCTAAGCCCTTGTATTGTATCTAGGTGTTTTAGGCTGTGTTTACATAAAGGCTAATCTCATCCGAGCCAGAGGCACGTCTAAAATGGGGACTTCTTTGCAAGTACGGATAGAGCATTTCACATGAATAGGCACAGGCGTGCATATACAAATCAAGATATCTACTTAAACTTCTTGTGTCTTAACTGGCTGAAATCATGTCCACTGCCTCCAGCCTCACATCCGTTGACCTTGCCTTACGTTCATCCTCCTGAGGCTGAGCATGGGGTTCTCGCGATTCTTTTCTCGATTTGGCCAGACACCATATCGTCGGGGGATTCTGAAAGCGGCTGCTGGCGCCGCTCCTTCGGACCAGAGTATCGGTGAGGTTCAGGTCCCCATGGATCCTAGTAGAGCAGGAGAATTGTCCATCAGTCAGCGGGCCTCTTTTACGTCCTCGTCGGTGGCCTCACCTGGCCTTTCTACACGCGGATGCACCACCCCAGCGGCCCTTCAGGAAGAGGCGGTTTCGCTTGCCGTTGAAGCTCTGCACAGCTATTCTCAAGAGGTGGAGATTGCAGAACATCTCAGATCGAGGTTTGATGCCAAATATGCACCCACCTGGCACTGCATTGTTGGCAGAAACTTTGGCATGTAGGTGCGCCTCTTCCTCGCATTATCACGAAAGTTCACTTATTCTATATGTTTGCAAAGGCAATAAGGACGCCTTACAAATTCGAATTTTTTAAAGCTTGCTCATTTAGGCGCAATCCTAATTAACGAATACATTTGAACATGGAAATTTCACTCCATTCGCGTCTTTGCAATCCAATGCGTTTTTTATTTCCGCTGATGTACACTTCTAGTTTTTTTGGCTTGGATGCCGCTGATCCACTGGTGACTGAACTATTTACTGAGCCATTTTGTTTATCGGGTGTGTGGATTAATTCGAAATAAAATTCTTCCTCCTATGGTGATGATAACCTCTCAGAGACGATTTTAACTTTCCCAAGTAAATATCTTGTTAATGCTTTGTAAAAAAGAATTTTTAGCTTGAAGGATCTTTTAATGCTTTCTATTCATACTTTGTTTAGTCTCTCGTAACTGATAGCTAAAATGGAAATATCTTATGACTTGAGGCATCAGCTCTCAGTTTTGATAGCGATAAGATTTTCAATTTTAAATATACCTACCAGTCAGCCAAATATGATTTATCCAACAAACACGATTGATTGTACCCCCATCATACAAAGGCTCCAAGGTACCATTTTTCCTCAACTTACATTATGCGAGACGACGCTTGACTATCGTGTCATCAGCCCATACGAACCTTAGAAAACTCGATTTAGTATACTTTTCTAGACTCGTTTTTATTATTTTTCGAATTGAGTATTGTTTTCGTGACTACCAGTAAATCATTGATATGAGATATATTCACCCCATTTCGTTTAAGGTGATGAAGGGCTGGTAAAAAAAGAATTTTCCCAAAATGATACGAGTTGAGCCGAGCGGTTAGCGCGTCAAGCTTGTATCATGCACTGTCGCGGTTCGACTCCCGACGACGGTGTTGATAAGACCGATGTGAGGTCGAATG